ATATTCGCTATTTCATTATTTTTAGTTTGTTCACGTACGCACGTGAAAAACTTGAAAACTTCAAAGCCAAAAGTTTTCAGGCGTTTAACAATTGTTTTTCAATTAAATGAGGAAAAGAAACCATTTTTCTTCCCTTGCGCATCCCGAAGCTGCCAATTTCATCGCTATTTTCCAGTATTTCGTTATTTTAGCTGGACAACGGGCATAAAACCCTTTCGCCAACGCCAACTTGGCTGAACCGATTTCCGAACAGCCCTTTTCCCTTCCAAATTCCGGCGCCATATCGCCAGTTTGTTATCACACACTCCGTGTGGGAGCACCACTTTTTTCCAGCACAAGAAACTTTGCCCGGGTCCCCGGTTCCCACCGTTCAATTGCCCCGGCCCGGCTGATTACGACCAAAAAGATGTTGAAAAAGGGCAGGACAAAGAGCAGCCCCGGCTAGACGCTGTGGTGGTCGGATGATGCCCTAAAAATAGTTATCCCTCCCTGTAATCTTATAAATAAGGAAACACTGTTGTCGAGCCCTAGACTTGGTCGGTTAGGGTGGTCTTTGAAAAGTTGGGGGCATCAACAGGTTAGCAAAGCGTCCGCGTCAATATGTACGTTGCGTTAGGTACGTGCGTTAGGAAAAGTTTAAAAGTCGTGACGTCTTTAGTAAATTATTGCGAAAAAGTAATTAAAAATTTGTTTCGCTAGCGGTTTTTTTTTTTTGCAAAACACGAAGCTCGATGCTCTCAAATTCCGGGCTTTTTAGAAGTTCTTAAGTATTCTCTGGTTTTTCTATTTCTAGAAATAATATTTTTTTGAATCGTTTAACCTTAGAAACAATTCCCATTTCAGGTGCAACAAAAACTCCCGACGATCGACGAGATCAAGGCGGCCATCCCGGCGCAGTGCTTCGAGAAGGTATGTTGTTTTATTGGGGTTAACGATTTTTTCTTACAGAGCCTGCCGAAATCGCTGTTTTTCCTGGTGCTCGACTACGTCATCTTGTTCGGCTGCTACAAGGCGCTGCCCTACTTTGAGGCCTATGGCTGGACAGGATACTTTATCTGGTACGTTATTTTGGAGTCTACATGCTTCTTTTAACCGGTTCTGCCTTGAAATGCTTTTTTACGTCCGGAATTTAGGTGCTGGGTGACGGGAATGTTCGCCGCCTCCCTGTTCTGCATCGGCCACGACTGCGGCCACACCACGTTCTCCGAGTACGAATGGGTGAACGATTTGTGCGGGCATATTGCCCATGCCCCGATCATGGCGCCGTACTGGCCGTGGCAGAAGAGCCATCGTCAACATCATCAGGTACTTTCCAACGGACGGTTATTGCCTTTTACCTGTTTTCAATGAGCAAGAGGCATATACACTTTTTGCATTCCAGTACACTTCCCATCTGACGCGCGACAAGGGCCATCCATGGGTCACCGAAGAGGAATACGTCGACAAGCCATGGTTCTTCAAACACTTTGCCAAGTTCCCGATCTCAGGCTTGTTGCGGTGCGTTTAATTTAAATTTTACCGCGTCTTGTAGCACCATTCGTTTATTTCCGGCCGGAGAAAAACCTGACTGAGAAAACTGAAAAATAGGAGTAAAAATTGCTAAAAACTGCGGAAATTTGAGGACATTTGATGAAAAATAGTTAAATAAGCCAAATAAGAGAATTAAAATCCCCCCAAATTTTCCCGAATTCTGAATTTATTGAATTGGGGATTTTTAGCATTTTAAATGTTCGTTATTTCAAAAGCCGGTAGCTTTTCCCGACTTTTGGATTGTTTCGTACTCTCCGGCTCCAAAAGAATCCCTCCATTATTTCCGGCCCCCTGAAATTCGTACCCTGATGGCCCCCCTAGTGAGGTGTGAAGCCGAGTCGAGGGTTGCCGGTGATGTTGACGCATCAGGGTGTGCGTGGCCGGGGCTCATCCCCGTAGGCAAATGGTCCTCTTCTCGTCGTCTTCTGCCCTCCCTCCACGTTCTGCCCGATTCCACACCCGCCATCCCCTCGTCGCCATTTTGGCGGATTTGTGGCCGGGCAACGGCACGCTGGTGTTGGCAGCCAGGGCTGAAGACGAACGGGGCGAGAAGCCGGTCTTCAGATGTGGCAACACCACGATCACTTTGGCATATACCAACCAACCTTGGGAGCTTTTAGTTTTTTGAACCCAGCGTTCTAGTGGTGAAAAAATGAGCGTATAAAGGTATGGCGCGGAAGCCTAGGGATTATCGACAAACCCCCAGGATGTCCGGTCTTCTGATGTGGCAACTTACAAAGGGACAGAATCCCCGTCATCAGCCCTGTAGACACTCACATGCCACACCTCGGAATGAAGACAAGGCCGCTTTTTTGGGGGTCGCCAAACAGCTTTGCAAGGAACGGTCGAGGACCCCGTTTTGCACTGGCCAGACGCCCGTCCAAAGAACATGAAAAAAGGGACAAGTACGCTATGCTGTAGGGAGCAAGAATCGGACTTGATGATGTCGCTGTACTTTTGATCGGACGGATGGGACCTTGACGCGTTGAAATAAAGTTGCAGTTGGTGGATTTTTGGAAGTTCTGGCTCTTTTGCATTATCGGGGGGGACGGTGGTTTTCTAGTTAGATATGCTAGTAATCTAATAGCAATTTTGTTAGTGATGTTTTTAATAAAATTTAGCTGTCTCTCAGGGGGGAATAGGTATCTAGAAACTTAGAAAATTTGAAACTATTCGCATTTTATATTTTTGACGATACTTGTAAATCCATCTATAGAATTTTATAATTTTTACATTTAAAAATAGCAAAAATCAGTATAAAAAAAAAACTTCCTCTCTTTATAGTAGAAAACGTGGATCTGTTACCCTTGAACGTTCTTGCTTTCAGATGGAACCCAATCTACACGTTCGTCGGCCTCCCCGACGGCTCCCACTTCTGGCCCGGCTCCGAGCTGTTCACCTCCACCGCCGACCGCGTCAAGTGCGCCGTCTCGGCCGTGGCCGTCTTTTTCTGCATGGGCGTGAGTGCTTACATTAAATATTTTTACCGTACTAATCATCTTAGGTTGCCTTCCACCTGTCGAACTACTCGGTGAACACGTGGTTCTGGTACTACTACATGCCGTGTTTGTGGCAAGGACTCTGGCTCGTCGTCATTACCTACATGCAGCACTCGCACCCCGAGATTGAGGTACTTTTTGCACCTCAATTAAATTTTAGTGACACAATAAATATTAGAAAAGTTTTTATAATTAGTTTAAGCCTTCGAGAACGCGTTCCTAACTATACCGGCATAGGTTGTACTGCAAACACCGCCAAGTTAGTTCCCTCCCCCGCAGCGTGCAAAGGCCAGTCGCCCTCACCCCCCGAAGCCTCGGTAAACACCAACGGGGTGCACACGTGCGCCGGGCGTAAAGTTCGAAAAAGCGGCCAGGGCATCCGCGCGGATCGTACGCGCCGCAACTCGTTTACGCTTAAAAAATGGGGTGTCAATGTCAATAGAACAATCTTGAAAATCTCTGGCAAATATTTGGGGTGAAGGGTTGCTTTTTTAGAGAAATTCAAACCAGTTTTGCTGGTTTCACCGCTACTTTAAACTCCTCTTTTCAGGTGTTCGAAGAGGGCAGCTGGAACTACATCAAGGGCCAGGTGCAGACGATCGACCGCACGTACGGCTTCGGCGTCGACACGCTGCTCCACCACATCACCGACGGCCACGTCGCCCATCACATGTTCTTCACCCGCATCCCGCACTACCATCTCATGGAGGCCACCGAGGCCATCAAGGGAGTGCTCGACAAGTATCCGGTAGGTTTTGCCTTTTGCACTAGTTTTCATTAAAGTTATTAGCGTTAAATACCTTCCATACCGTCATTTCCAGGGCGCCTACAAACACGAGACGAACTACCACGTGTGGTTCAAATACCTGTGGTACAACGTGCGCTTCGAGTACCTCATCGGCAAGGGCACCGGCGTGCTGCGGTACAAGCAGAGCGGCCAGGACACGAAGAAGGCGATCTGAGGCACCTCGACGACGGCCATTCCATCCATTAATATTACGTGTACAAATGCGCCTCCTTACGCCTGGGAGGTACATTATATTGGGAATAAATCGTTTTTACCGTACGCGTCGAGGGTTTAGTTACAAAGTACTGATTTCAGTTTCGGTGGTGCTGGGCTGTTAGCGGGGGAGGGGGCAGTTTTTAGCGAGGGAAAATTAGCTTTTTAATTATTTGGCGGTACCTAGGTGTTAATAATAAAAACGTTAATATGCTCTATAGGCGATTTAGTTATGGTTTCGCCCCCCCCCCCCCCCCCGCTAACAGTCCAGTACCATTTCAGGTTCCTCCGATTGTGTCGATGGCATGTCGGTGGGGGGTGTCGATTGGTGTGTCGCGTAGCAAGGGGGAAGAGAGACAACTGTAAGGGATAATCACTTGTCCACGCCGGGACCACCCTAACGAGGGTCCCGTCGAGAGGATGGGGGGAGGGGCCCACCCCTGATTCATTCACACGCAACACCACAGGGGGGCTTCTCCTCTCTTGTTGAGCCCTTGAAACGGACAGACAGGGGGGACAACGGCTTGATGACGTTGAACAGCTGCTGCCCGGCTGCAGGGATCACTGGAATGATCAGTGTTTTTTTGGGGGAAATGGTGGCTAGGAATTTCCTGAAGAACCTATGATAGCACGCTACGGTTCTAATGGATCTGGTGGCATTTTTAGGGCAATCTAACATAGACCCTTGAGTTTAAATTGCCCCTCCCCCCACAGCCGAAGGCTCTCAAAGTTTTCGGTATTTTCGCTTATTTTGCCGGGATTTTTGCAACGCCATTCGATAGAGCATCCAAAATTTGCTAAGAGTATTAATTTGAGCCTACAATACAGTTAAATATAAAAGTTTTCTTTTAAGTCGTGTCGGCAAATCGTCCTCAAGCTTCTCTGCTGGTACGCTAGATTTTGAGCAGAGGGCCCAGGTTTTCAAGGCAATCTAGCAGAAATGCTTAGCGAATATCAAGCACGACCGTTGTCGATCTGTTTCTGTGCTTTTATGGTTTTTTTATGAGCTTTTTATGTCTACGATCTCGATCAAATCAATAAAAAAAATTTGCCCTCCCCCGCTAACCGGAGAGCACCACAATTTCTTTTTTAGATCTACGATGAAATTCCACACCCCCAAACAGAAAAGTACCAAAATTAGCGTGCAACCCCCCGTTTCCCACCATTGGCAAGCCGGGCAGACACACCCACACCCACCCGAGGGCCCCGGCATTCCGACCGGATGACGATCACAAAACGGACAACGACTGCGGAGGGAGAAGACGTCGAAAAACGGAGGAGAAACCCCAGGAAAGAGGGCGGACAGTACGCGAGAGGACACGGGACACGGACCCTTGACTACACGGGGGGGACACTCTACAGCCCATCCAACAAGCGCATCCAATCCAATCCGCCGGCATACACTCGCCAACACACACCCCGCAAAAACGGATAGCTTACATGGCGTGTATGGCCAAGAGGATGGTTGAGGGATTTCAGCGGAGCTTTTGCGTTATCGAGGGGGGTACAAGCGTTTTTTCCTTTCTTAAACTCCAGCTAACCTTTTCATGACGTAATCAAATCAAATTAGAAAAAGTCGTTAACTTACATGGGTGCAGAGGAGCTTAGCGGAGCTTGCGCCTTAGCAGGGGGGAACCGAGCTTTTAAAAGTCCAGCAATGCAACAGCAAAGATTTTAATAGCATTTTAGCGAAATTTAACTGTATTTATCGTGAACAAGCTGTCAAAACCATTTAAAAAATTTAAAAATTCCAAATTTGAGCGCAGATCTGCCATTTTTGCTCTAAAAATCTATATTTTCTGCATTTTTAATAAAATTTAATTAGTAGTATAGTAAATAGTATTTAGTAGTATTAAAAAACAGTATGAAAACATTTCCTCTATTTATTAGACAATTTGATCCTGGTTCCCCACATTGAGTTTTCGCAATTTTTATGAATTTTTCTAAGGATTTCGAAACCCAGCGTTTCATGACATAATCGAATGGACAGATCGAAAACTTTCTTTATTCTTAAGAAACCTCGAATTTTTGACCCCTTTCCAGTACCGAATTTGCATCCCTCACCACGCGTACGCACCGGCCGGCTACGTGTAGGCGCCGGCGACCCGGACACGGAAAACGGACCCATCGGCGAGTAGCTGAAATTGATACTTTGCTGCTGGATTGGGTTGGAAGCGAGCCAAGCGGATCGTCGAGTACCCAAACCAACGCTACGGGACCATCCAAAAAACGTACAATGGTGAGGGAGGGGGAAGCGACCGTGATGACAAGATGAGCAAAGGAGCTTCTGGCACACTTTGGCGGATTGGGATTTTAAATGAAAAAGGATAATTATTTAATTTTTAAGATTGCGTTTTAAAGATAGGCGTCAGCGGAGTTACTGGTGCGCGTGTAGCGGCCGCGCTTCCAAGGCGTTGCGGTCGTGTCGCGTCGGGAGACGTTCCAGTACAGGAAAACCCTGCTGAAGACATGGCCCTTTAGGGCGTTTTTCAGGGAGTTCTACTCGTCCTATTAGAGCCCTAATCCCGACAGCCATAAGCCCGATCGTCCGGGGGTCCCGATACCAAAATCCAGACAGCCAAAATCCCAACCGGCCAGAATACCGACAGCCATAATACCAACAGCCAAAATTCGGGCTTATGGCTGCCGGTATTTTACTGTCGGTATTATTTTCGTCAAGATTTTCGCCTGTCGGTATTATGGCTGTCGGGATTAGTGGTTGTCGACGTCTTGGCTTCTCGGCGTTACGAATTTCTGGAGTGTGGCTTGTCAGGATTCGAACTGGTGGGATTTTGGCAGTCGAGATTTTGGGTTTTCGGTATTATGGCCGTCAATTGTCGGGATTATGGCTATCGGCCTGGGCCTGTCGGTGTCATGGCTTTCGGTATTTTCGCGTACCGTACTCCTTTTTTGCAGGTGCGTTGCGGCGACGTCACTTTCCCAATAGCTCCAAATTACGAAATCTCGATGTCTGATCGTTCACCGCCGCCCTGATTCCGCTGGCTTACTAATGCCATTGGAATCAGTGGGCCCTCCAGTTTAGCGTGTCAATTATCCGGGGGGAAAGCAGCAGAATGCGAGTCAATCCCTCTCTATCGGTTTGTATTTACCCCGGGGTCGAGGCAGTGTGGCTGTGTGAATAGGCTGCTGTATGACCGGTTCAGCTCCCGGGGGCAGATCATAGAGAGAGAGAGAGAGAGAGCGAGAGAGAGAGAGAGAGAGAGAGAGAGAGAGAGAGAGGGAGAGAGAGGGAGAGAGAGGGAGAGAGAGGGAGAGAGAGAGAGAGAGAGAGGGAGAGAGGGAGAGAGAGATACCGAAACAGAGGGACATACTACGGTATCCGGGGGTTAGAATAGGGTTGGTGCAAGGGGGGAGGGGAGGGGCCAAAAGGCTGGAGGGCCCAGGCCACCCCCACCTGGTGGTCGACTCGAAAAACGGGTCCAAGGCCCATATAAAAGGGCCCACCACCCCAGTCCGGGCACCAACCCCGCCCCCCACCACACAGTCTCATCTACCATCACCTCCCAGTAGATGAACAACCTCATTTTCCCATTCTACACTTGTTTCACTGTCTTTTAAAGGGACGGTGACACGGGTTTTCCCCTGGCGTTCATAATTACTTCTGTTATTGATCCTACCTCTGAACACGCTGAGCGTCGCAGCCTCCATTTCTGCTCCAATTATTACTTATTTCTGCTGCTCATTTCTCCTTCTAAAGGGACCGCGACAGCAGCGTTCTGGCCTTTAGAATTCCAAGCGCAACAACCTTCTCCTTTTGATTTCCGGCTCATTTTAAAGCAATTATGCTATTACTGACTTTCCGCAACTTTCCTATTGACGTGTGTCTCTGGCTCTCTCACTCTCTCTAGCGCTCTCTCTTTCTCTCTGGCCGGCTCTCTCTCTCTCGATCTCTCTCTCCTATCTCTCGCTTACATCCATGTACCATCTCTAAACTCCCTCATTCCAGATCCCAGCTCGTGACGATGGCTCGGGTATTCGTTGCCGTCTGCCTTCTTGGTGAGTTTCCGGAATTGCGTTTGAGCTCCTCCTCTATCTATCACTACTCGGAAATGCTGAATTCTTACTCCCAGCTCCCAGCTCCCCGGGCTTTATACCCGGGATCAGCTGCGGCGACGGGTAGAAGTTCAGCTTTTTGATCCATACTGGTTTCCATCATCTTATGGACGGCTTGAACTTGGGTCTACCGGCTCACGGCTCAAAATTCTCCGATTTTGCTACCAATTTTGAGCTTCTAAAGGAAATTGGCTTCAAAGTCTAAGCCTAAGCCTAAAGCCAGGCTTCGCCCACGGCCGAGCCCAAGCCTAAGTTTAAGCTTAAGTCCACTAATCTGAGGCTTTTTTCAGCCGCCGTGGCCATGGCCCAGGAAGACAGCAAGTCGGGCTCATCCGAGGAGCAGTCCCCGAAATATTGGCGAGCTATCCTGGGTGATATCTGCCAGCTGCCCTCATTCCCCCGTGCCACCGGTGACCCGAACCGATACGTCGAATGTGTCCGACAGGCCGCCGACGTCACCGACAGGTACAGCTGATTCTTCGATTCTTAGAAAGCAAAAATCCTGTGGAATCGATGAATTCCCAAATAACCTTGGCTAGCTAATTTTGGAGTGATTTTTACGACGGTATCGAATTTCCGAAAAATTTAAGCGGTTAGTTTTGGGCGTAATTGATCTCGTTTTGAATTCCTAAAAATTCGGCTAGCAAATGTGCAAACGCAAGCGAGGAAATTCCAAAAGCGCATAAAATCCACCCGTCATTTGCAACACATCGTCCCCATCGTCCACTACGCAACACTCCAATTTACGCATTCTAAGCATGTACAATGTTTTTTTGCTCATTCGACGGCGCTCTCTAAAACGGAGAATTTTAATCACGTTCTTGCGCTCTTTCCAAATTCCGCTTTCTCCTGCGCATTTCTCCACCCATTTTTTTGGGCGGTATCGAACCGGATACTGGGGCTGATCAGCAGAGTATGTGCCTCTTTTTTGCATGCGGGTTTGTTGACTTGAGGTTATGGGGGGATATCGACAAACAGTGCGTAACCCCTTGTCTCCCTCATCGCCTTCCACCCTCAAGAAAGAACCATTACCAGCAAATTGTTTGCGAACCAAACCCGCGTTGGCGGGGGGGGGGGGGTCGAGGTGGAATCCGGATCTGCCAGCTATGTCAGGATTTAGCGCTGTGGAAGATGAAATCTAAGATTAGGCATTGTGGGTGTGAAAATTTTTTACTAGCTTGGCGACGTCTTGTAGCAGTTTAGAATTGAAAATTTCGGTTGAAAAGCCTGAAATAGACTTTTAGACCGTGCAGGAGCCTCGACTAGCCTATCGGCGTCTTGTAGCAGTTCAGAATTCAGCCCGCCTTGCCTAAACCTACTCTTAAGAAGCATCTTCTCTTAAGTCTGAACTGTATTAGCCTATCGACGTCTTGTAGCCGTCCGGAAATAAGAAATCTAGCTGCTGAAATTTGATTTTTATCTTAGGGCATTAAAGATTTTTAAAGCTTGTAAGATATAGTCAAAAACCCAACGATTAAAAAAAATCTAACTTTGTTGTGGTTTTTGAGCGAATCAGGAACTTACCATTGATTTTCAGGAAAGACCTCGGCATCTGGCTTCTCCGCGAATGCCTGCCCGGCTACGAGTTCGTCGCCTCGGCCCGCCGCTGCAAGACCGTTCGCTCGGTCCGCCGCCAGCAGCAGCTCTGCGATGGCCCCAACGCCACCTCATTCCAGTTCTGCCCCACTTCTCGTCTGTCTTCGGTGGGTTCAAGGGTCCCTGAAAGGTTACGATAGCCGGTTCGGTTTATACACGAAAATATCAAAATTTTTAATTTTTTTTTGCAAATCCCCTTTGCTGCCTTTCATGGCTTTTTTCCTTTCCTTCTACGACCCTTTAAAAACCTCCTACTTCCAGTTCATGGTCGACGAGATCCGCGAGGCTCCCCGCCAGTGCGCGTGCCCCAACGGCGAGCTGAACTGCGTGTGCCCATCCCCCGAAATCCTCGAGCCCGTCAATCTGCCCGTCAACTCGCCCAAGACGCGCCGCAGCCCGCAGATGACCACCACCGCTGTAAGCATTTTTCGTTTTTTTTTCATTGGCTAGCGGGCCCATATCCCCTGAAACCCCCGACTTTTCAGAAGATCACCTTCTCGCAGTACCAGAACTGCCCGTGCCCCCAGCAGCAGCCCCAGTGCAAGTGCGTCACCCAGCAGAACAACCAGGTCAGCAACGAAATTATTTTCTCTAGCTCTCAGGTTGTCTCTCCTCCCCCTCTCTCTTTCTTTCTTTGTCTCTCTCTCTCTCTCTCTCTCTCTCTCTCTCTCTATTCTCTCTCTCTCTCTTTTACCCTCTCTTTTCCAGCCAGTCGTCGCCTCGACCCAGTGCTGCCCCCAACAATCCGCCACCACCATGTCCCAACAATGCATGTGCCAGCAGGAGACCCAGCAGCTGGTAAGTCCGAGACGCTACGAGCTGCACTCCCCCTCCGTGTGCGCTCTAGGTTTTGCTGTGGCATTTGGCATATTTCTGTCGTTCCTTTGCTCGGTCATAAGTCGTCTTTTCGAGGGAGAGAGAGAGAGAGAGAGAGAGAAAGAGAGAGAGAAATAGAGAGAGCGCGAGAGAGTGTTGGCGGACGGCGTTGTTATCTGAATTCCAGGCCCTTAAAAGCTCCTTAAGAGCTCCTTAAAAGGTTGAACTGCTCTACTGAATTTGATGACTTGAGTTTCGACTTCCCGGTCCCTTTAAAGCAACTGAACTGCTTGCTCAGCCCGTTCCCCCAAATACGCGACTTCAGAATTCCCTTAACAGAGCGATACCCCGATTTCAGAACCCATCTTCGCTGCCGTGTTTCCCTTCACCAGTGTGCCACTACTGTCTGACTGTCTAACCCCACCGTACCGCCAAATACGGAGTGTGGAGTGTGGTGTAATTTGGAGCCCTGTGTAGCCCCGATTTTTCTAGAACTGCCAGACCACCACCACCCAGCAGCAGTACTGCCCGCAACAGCAGGAAGTCGTCCAGCAGCCGCAGTCGTGCCCGCTTGGTGAGTACGAGAGAGTTCGAGGAGAGTAAGGGAAAGTACGAGAGAGTACGATAGAGTACGCTAGAGTGCAAATTACGGCAGAGTTTCGCCGTCTCGCCGCCGAATGCGAGCGATACGCTCGAGTACGGGCCATTACGTGCCAGTACGGTATATGGTAGTAGGACGGAGTACCAGTGAGTACGATCGAGTACGGCCCCGCACTAGATTACAGCCGAGTACGATTGAGTACCATAACGTACAGGAAGGTATTCTGAATCCAGTGCTGTAAGTACGGTCGAGTACGCAAAGTACGGTCAAGTACGGTTCAATACACCAAAGTACAGTTGACTACGCCCCACTACCCCCAATTACGGCCAATAATCAACGCGTAATTTAGTGCAAGGCGGAGTGCAGAACGCCGCCTACCAGGGCATCTGCTCGTGGATGGTCGACCCTCTTGCCAAGGACCCGGAGAGCTGCACCCACTTCCTCCAGTGCCAGCCAGCCCCCAACAATCTGTACTGCGGACGGTAGGGTTACGGTAGAAAATTCCACCTGTCACCGTCCCTTTAGCTGGCAGCGAATGCCCTGTGCCCCAGCCACCATCTTCGACGAGCAGGCCCAGGTCTGCGTCTGGGATACTAGTAAGTTTTTTTTTGAAGTTATAGTCGGGAATTTTTGGCTTAGACTCTTAAGCGTAAGCCTAAGCCAAGCCAAGCTATAGTCAAGCAAAGCGAAGCCTAAGTTTAAGGCCAAGCCAAGCGAAGCCCAAGCCTAAGGCCAAGTCAAGCCAAGCCTAAGCCTAAGGCCAAGCCTAAGGCCAAGCCTAAGCCTAAGGTTAAGCTAAAACTAAGCCCAAGCGAAGCTAAGACCAACCAGGCTAAAACCGGATCCTATGCATAAGCCTAAGCCAAGCAAAGCCAATTCAAGCGAAGCTCAAGCCCAAGCTTAGGGTCCGCCGCTCGAAAACCGAGCACAAAACATTTAACCAAATATCAGTTATTTAAAGACAGATTAATTCTGGTTTGAAATGCCACTCTTCAGGCTCTCAGCCCGCTTCCCTGCCCACCCCGGCCCCGTACGTGCCCACCCAGGCGCAGCAGAACTCGCAGTGCGGATGCACGGGAGGAGTTCAGATCGGCAGCTGCAACCAGAACTACCAGTGCCCCGGCCAGTCTGTCTGCCAGGTCGGACAGCAAAATGGAAATCAGGTGAGATAGATGATTTTACCATTCTCCCTCTGTATGTCTCACTCTCTCGCTCCCTCGCTCTCGTACTCGCACTTCTCTCTCTCTCTCTCTCTCTCTCTCTCTCTCTCTCTCTCTCTCTCTTTCTACCCCAAAATACTTGAAGCTGTTGTGTGCGAAAAACAGTAAACGTGTAGTGGCCCATTGTGGCGTCTAGTTACAGGAGTACGTGTTTTCGCCCAGGACCCCAAAATATTGGCCCTGCGCCCGGTTTTCCGGGGGGCTACTAGGTACACTTTGTCTAGCGAGAGAGCCTTTCACTAGCAGATACCCTTAAAAGGGGCTATGTGACATTTTGAGGGCAAAACAGTCGACGGAGAGAGAGAGAGAGAGAGAGAGAGAGAGAGAGAGAGCGAGAGCGTGAGGGAGTGAGAGAGAAAGTGAGCAAGAAATAAAGCCCGCGAAATAAGTAATAATGAAAAAAATTGCGCTTAACCTGCCAATTGCCATCCCCGGCTCTTGTCTCTTGACGTGGAGATGACGTGCCAACAATCCCGTCTTGTCCCCCCCTTGCCCCAAGTGCCCCCCTCGACTACGCGATCATCCAATCGACACCCCCCGTCGTGTCCATGGTGTCCGATCCGATATCTTGAGTGTCTCCCCTCCCCCAGCTTGTCCCCTTTTGTTCATCTCCATCCCCGTCCTCATCCAAATTCAATCCCAGCTTCTCTTTTCAGTGTATGGTCTGCTGCTACTTCCGCAAGAAGGCCAAGCGCGCGTAAGCGTCTTCCGTTTCCACGTCTCGGCTCGTCACGCGGGTCCCCCGGCAGGTTGGGTATTTCGTGGTTAAAGAGACCGGGAAGGCAGGGCTATGGATTCTGCCGCGTCGCGACACGTGACGCGCACTTCCTTTGGCGTCGCGTACCCAAATGGGCGTGATTGCCTCTCATTAATGCATCCACGTTTCAGAGCCAACCCCCCGTCCCCCTATCTATTGGAAAGTGCCCGACTTTCCCGACACCCAAGCGGAGGAGCCAAAAAACCCCTCCACTACGCACGTTGTCTGTAAATACAAGTGTCCCCGGCTTAATAAATATGTTCATTAATGCGTGGAAGTGCGGGGGATATGCATAAAATTCGGGCGTACAGAGTACATTGGAGTAGCTGGGCGAAAAAAGAAGACAAGGCAGCGCCAAGGTGGAAGTCTAGCGGCCGCTAATTTCAATCGATTACGACAGGAAATAGGACGATACCAAAATTTTAATTCTAGGCTGCAAATTCCAGCGAAAAATGCATCGAATTCGAGCAGTCAGAGCGCATCGGTGTAGCAGTAGCAAAACATACCCTTGAATTTTGACGGATTTCGGCCTCAAAATGCTTTACAAAATGGAGAGCGCATAATCCGAAAAATTCGTCTTCCCCGGAATATCTTTAATCCTGATATTGTAACTATCCAAATACGATTTATGCCCTCGGATAATAGATCTCGCATATAGCACCCAACGGCCGGCCACAGTCCACGGCATACCACTTGCCGGACGGAACGTCGATAGTTGCGCACTGTACTCCCGGGGTGGGCTCGCCTGGAATGCTGATTATTTGCGGGTAAGGCCGAGTACAGAACCTCAAAAAATTTTCCAACCCACCCGGCGCCCAATTCAAATAGTCAACCGTCGTCCCGTCCCAGTTCTCCCAGAATTGAATATGGCCGACCTGTTCGTAGTACAGTGCTGTGTAGAGGAGCCCCGCGGAGGGGGATACTGTAAGGTGGAAAGATTGGAAGCTAAGGAAAGGATCGAGGTGTTCTCTAGCCACTTTAAATGTTATCGGGGAGCCGGACTTCTGCTGGCACCGCCCCTTTAAAAAGACCGTCAAGGGACGGCTACCGATTTTTGGCTACGGATTCACGAGATTTTTAGAATTTTACGTTAAATTTAGAAACTTTATAGAAAATTCTAAATAAACTAAGAAATTTTTGAACTGTTTTAGGATACAAAAATTTGTAAAAATCTGCAAAAATTCACCAAAAAACCTACCCTCACTGGCATACTGTACGAGGGCGTTATTTTGGTAGAGGCTGTGGATTGAGATGAGGTACCCCTTCAGCCCTGCGCACATGTCCCATTGTTGCGAGCGGTTGGCCGCTAAAAAGTGGTTTTTTCGAGCCTCGAAAATTCACCAGTGCCTCCAGACTACCGTAGTTTAAAACTGAAATTTTTGATATGACTACGATTGATAAAACAATATTTTGGTAAATTTTTTCCATTTTTTGACTGCTAAACATTACTTTATGAGCGAAAATTCCAAGATGATACTGTGTACAATTTTAGGTATTGGTATGGGAAGCTTCGTCGCCGAGATTTTCGGTGTTTCGGGAAATCGCAAATTCCGGCATAGTACTTTGTACAGTTTTCGGCATTCCTTAGGTACTTTAAAATTGTAGACGATAGATTACGCCATGTAAATACAGCGTTGAAGAAACCGGGTCTTCTAAAATGGAACTTACAAGGGAACCTCAAGTTGGCACGGTGGAATTTCGGAAAACGCTCGCGGCTACCCCTAGGTTTTCGACTATGGCGATTCCAACCCTCTAGTCAGAATTTCCTTAATGGACCTCTGGGCAGAGATACAGCACTTCCGGAAAATGATAATTTACATCCGAAAAATTAGCATTAGCGATAGGTTTATGAGGCTCTCCCATCACTATGGAATCACCAGTTGAGTGGCCGAGTGGTAAGCGATTCGCATGATAGGATGCTGACCAGGGTTCGAACCCGTTCACGATTTTTTATTTTGCTTTTTGACCGGAACTTTCTGCCCTAGGGGTAGCCGCGAGCGTTTTCCGAAATTCCACCGTGCCAACTTGAGGTTCCCTTGTTAGAGGTTTGGAATTTTGGGAATATCATTTTTCTATCATTTAAGGCACCATTTAAGAAAACACAAAAATTTTAAAACCCCAGTAAATATTATTGTTATCCCGTCCGGAAAGTGCAGCGTCAAAACCCACGCGCCAACTCGATATGCACGCATTCACGAAGTTCGGTGGCGTTGAAGGTGTTTGGTGGGCATTGAGCTGATGAGGGCGTCGTGAGCAATGCCAGAAACGGAAGAAGGAAAATTAAGGACCAGCGCAACATCTTTGGATCAAAATTTTAGCGCGAATTCGCGAACTTTGGGTGTGGGAGAAGCCGTGGGTTGGCGTGTCATCATCTGATAAGCTATCAACGGGTGGTTCCTGGTTTTTCCGTGGCTTAATGCAGTTTTTTTGGGGTTTTTTGGAAACCAACTTTTCCGGGAAACGGATAATTTTAAGGGACGGGGAGAGCAAGCAGAGAACGAGAAAGAGAGCGAGATAGAAAGAGAGACGGAAAGAAACGAGAAACGAAATTGAGAGGTTTTTGCCTGAACGGCTTGAAGTCGCCGCTGAAAGCGGGTGTGTGCTCATTTTTAAGCATGTACTCGTGCTCATCAAGCGAGACTCACAGAACTAAGGAAAATATCTATCTGTCTCTCTCCCTCTGTCACTGTCTCTCTCTTTCTCTCCCGCTCTCTCTCTTTCTCTTTCGTTCTCTCGCTTTTTTCTAACTTTATAACCAGGCAAGTTTCCTCTAAATCCAAAAACTGCTTTCACACCTCAAAAAACCAACCATCTAACCGCATTGGCCAAAAAGTGAAACCCGGAAACCTGTCCACCCCTGGTACTCGTGTGCTCACTGGCTCCTACTGCTGAATGCCAAAGCCATATGATGGTAGTCTTATTGGGGAAAGCGAGGGAAATGTGTAAACTGGAGAGAGAGAGGGAGAGAGAGTGAGAGAGAGCGAGAGAGAGGCGGAGAAATGGACTGTCGACCTGCGCGGAAAAGGCCTGATCCCCTTCCCACCTCTCCCTTTCGCCCAGCGAACCCATCCTGAAAAATATCGACAAAACAAATGCGACCCGTGCCCGTACCGTGATCTGCGTATTGATTTGCATTTTGCGTTTTTGGGAAGAATGCTATGGTTTTTATTTTTATTTTTTTTGTAGGAGGTCCGAGCTGCAAAATTTTGTGTGAGAGAAAGCGAGAGCGAGAGAGCGAGCGAGTGAGAGAGAGCGAAAGAAATAGGGAAAAGGAGAGTGCGAGAGAGAGAGAGAGTGAGAGAGCGATCTTTGAAGGACGTTTTATACTTAAATCGTTCGTGTCCTTAACATCTTCTCTTGTTTACTATTCCCGACAATTTTATGATTGTCAATTGAAGAAAAAATTTTAATGTCAGCACCTCCATCATCTTTTTTTGGCTGTTTTTGTTTTTAGGCCTTTTTCACGCTTTTCCAATGATTTTACGGTAAATATTGCACTTATTTGAGGGGGGGCCCAGAAACAATAGGGGGGTCAGCTGTTGGACTGTAGATAAGGCGGCGGTTTCGGGATGAAATTTGTTGTCTCAGACGGCAGTGTTGGGTTGGCCAAATTCATTCCAGGTTCCGAACGGCGAGATCTGTGGTTTTACCTGTATAAATGATGCAACATTTTTACTCTCTCTCGCCCCTCTCTTTCTCTCGTCCATCACTCGCTCTCTCTCGCGCTCTCTCTGGCTCGCCTTTTCTCGCTCTCTCGTTCTCGAAAGCGCGCTTTCGCCTGTCTGCCCTTATCACTCTCTGTCTCTCTCTCTGTCTCTCTCTCTCGCTCTCTCTCTCTCCCTCTCTCCCTCTTTCTCACTCTCTCTTTCTCTCGTCCATGGCTCGTGCTCTCGCTCGCTGTTTATCGCTCACTCTCTCTCGGTTTCTCTCTTTCTAACCCCCTCTACTTCCAGAGCTTCTAGCGGGCAGCTGATGACCGTCCGACACCGGGATGCTGCCCCGCGACGACAATGGCACGCTATGTACGTATTATTAAAATCAAATAAATTTAGCGTTTGCACAAAGTAAATTTGTATAATTTAAAAAAAAAAACAACAATTAATTTTGCGTAATTTTTCAGATGAACTGCTCGACGCCGCCGCCCAGCAAAACTACACGACTGATGGGGGTGAGAGAGCGTTGAAAGACACTGGAATTGTAGAACATCTTAGCTGAGGGCGTCACCGTAAAATCAAGCGTTAGTAATAGGATGCGATTTCCGCAACAATCCATCTGCTTTTTAGTAACGATAGCTCTGGGGGGATAGGTTGTGCAGGCTGGAACGCAGTTAGTATCAATTTCCGTTTCACTCTCTCTCTCTCTCTCTCTCTCTATCTCTCTCTCTCTTTCGCTGTCTATGACCTTGCTCCCGACCCCATAAGCGCCCTGGGAAAAGCGTTCCTTCCGGAAAAATCGGGTTTCCGGCGCGCCCTCCGGCTCAAATGATCTGAGATCCAGATTTCGCTCTGTCTACCCCATAAACCGTATAGGATCGACCGTAATATTAACACCATAAATACCACACCTTGAAAATGTTCGGCCAGGACCCACAGTACCCAATCCTGGACCCCGAGCAGCAGCGGATATGTAAGTTTTTCTAGTGGAAAAGCTGTAAAGGGCTCTATTCGCTCTCTCTCTCTCTCTCTCTCGCTCTCTCTCTCTTCTCCAAATAATAATTTGTGAGGATAAAAAACTATCAAAACCCGCTATTAAATGATTTTCTGGCCCCTTCAAAACCATAAAACAACTATCCCTTTTTTCAGTCGTCGAATTCACGATGGGGCGCCTTCTCGAGGTGCTGGTGGTGACTCTGGTGCCGACGTTCGGCATTTTAATCCTCTGCGGCAGTCTCGCTTGTTATATCATCAAAAGGATGGACACCGGACGACCGGGAGGCGGTACGACGCAATAGGAATTTACACTAATCGTCCTTAGGTGTCGAGTGTCCACCGCCAAGCCCTCCGACCCCACCCCCCGGCTATGCCATCGCATGCTCATCGGCACATGTGCCGCCCCCACTCTACGACGATCTCTACAAGGTCTACCCGCCCATTGTACATAGGTGTGTTACGTAGCGTAATAGAGTGTGAAAACATCGAGACTGAGAAATGTATAGAAGAAAATCTGCGCGTCCATTGTACGTAGGAGTGTGAGGTATCGTAACGTTGCGCGGCCTTGCGCAGCCAGCAGGATATAATTGTAGTACATAGTAGCATTGCGTAGCGCGACGTTGCATTGAGATCGCTTTGTATAGCGCTACGTAGCATTGGGTAGCGTTACGTAGCGTTGCGCAGCCTGGTAAATCTCTGTTAGCTAAAGGAAATGTGAAGAGGAGCCTGCATGCTTCGTTTTTTGGCCTGGCGTAGTGAAATACGTTATGTCCGGCCGCATTACGGGACGTAAAGTGGCAATGCGTCGCCTAGCGTAGTGTTTCGCTGGGTGGCAGCGCAATGTAAATTTTTGTATTTCTTGAAGGGTTGTGTAGCTTTCTTTCAAAAATTACGTAATTTCACGAAGCCTGAAGTTAAGGTGCTCCGTAGTGCTGCGTAGTACTGCCAGACGTGGCGTAAGGTAGCTTAACGTAGCGTAGCGTAGTCTAGCCCTTCTGCCGCGTTGTGTTGGTTTTTTTGCGGCGCATAGTGTACAGTTTCGTCAAGCGTAGTCTAACGTAGCTTAGCAGAGTCATTTTTATCACTGTTTAGCTACAAATTGCTAAAAATTGACTGAAAATCGAATAAGACCCCCTAAATCTAATTTTTTTTACAGTAATCCCGCGACCCGAGACACGCTGCCCGTGACGCCAAAGCCCGAATGATTGATTTTCCTGAGTAATTCTACTATCATAGCCTTTTTAAGCGAATTTCCGAGCGATTACCATCGACATTCCGTATTCTGTGCGACTTTGGCCAAGCCTTTGAAATGCCATATTTTCAAAAATATATAGCTTTGCGCCCCCCTGTGCTGATGCTCATTTTTGCTCACTTGCGCCCACCGGTCCATATCCTTCTTTCGTGATTTTTTACTGATTTTTTTGCTTCATTTTTGCATGTAATCTTTCACGCTCGACTCGTTGCCACGGCTTTATTCGAATGAACTACACGGTGTTGGGCACGGGGAACAACACGAAAAAAGGCGCCCAAAAAGGGATATGGGGGGTGTTCAAGGGGAAATATGCGTTGTATTGGGCGCCGCCGGCTGGACGCAAGAGCGCTGTGGCTGGTGGACGGTAGATGATCAGAGCTCCGTCTTCAGCAGGGTGTATCTGGAATCAAGGCTTAGATTTGGGATTGGCGTAGAATCGGCTATGCTAGCTACGGTTTAGCTTAGGATCAGCTTAGGCTTAGATTCGGCGTTGGCCTGACTTACAAGGAGACGTTTTTGAGTGTCGTCGGGACTTTGGCACGGGACCAAGCCTATCTTGTGCAGAATTTTACGCTGATTTCGAATATGTTAACCGTTTTTGCGGAATAGCCATTTCTCAAAAGTTATGAACGATTTAAACCTCAAAACAGCCCAAAATCGGCTACTTTCAATAGTCATAAAAGACTTCAAAATAGGTTTTAGACAAAACCAGATAGTACATCTTGTTCAGAAAAAAAATTCTCTATAAAATGTACCATCTTTGCCAAATTCATTGAAAAGTTGGAAAATTTTGATAAATTGGGAGGTCCATAATTTTACAAAATTTTCAAAATTCCAGCATTTTTGAGTTAAGTAGCTTATTTTATAGAGAATTTTTTTCTGAACAAAATGCACTATCAAGTTTTGTCTAAAACCTATTCCGAAGCCTTTTATGACTATCGAAAGTAGCCGATTTTGGGCTGTTTTGAGCTTTAAATCGTTCATAACTTTTGAGAAATGGCTATTCCGCAAAAAACGGTGAACATATTCGGAATCAGCGTAAAATTCTGCACAAGATAGGCTTGGTCCCGTGCCAAAGTCCCGACGACACTCAAAAACGTCTCCTTGTTAGCTTCGATTTAGGCTTCGCCTCTGCGAAGGGGGGATCGCTGAGGTTTAACAGAAGCTTGGCTTGGTGTATGTTTAAGCTAGGCTTAGCGTAGAGTTGGCTTAGGCTTAGCTTGGGCTTGAGAGTTAAATTCGGGCTTATTCTTGAGCTTGACCCGCCCCTGGCTTAGCTTAGACCCGTTCTGAAGCTTAAGCTTATCTCGGAATAGGCTAGCCAGGCTTAGTCCTGACTTGGGTGTGGCTTAGCTTCGCATCCGCTTAAGCTTAATTCGGGCTTAGGTTGCAGCGGTATAGGCTGATAATGCCGATTCACAGAATGCCGATTTACAGAATGCCGATTTTACAAAATGCCGATTTACAGAATGCCGATTTTACAAAATGCCGATTTACAGAATGCCGATTTTACAAAATGCCGATTTACAGAATGCCGATTTACAAAATGCCGATTTACAGAATGCCGATTTACAGAATGCCGATTTACAGAATGCCGATTTACAGAATGCCGATTTACAGAATGCCGATTTACAGAATACCGATTTTACATAATTTGGGTTCTACATCCAAAAATACAAACCGGATCCCCAGAAAAAACATTATCCGACTGGGACATGGCGAAACCGCCAGACCTGAGGCCTAGCTTTACTATTTTCTTTTTTTTTCAGAGTAACCCTAGTTCCACGTTACCAAGGGGCCACCCATTGGTTACTAAATTAAATTCTTCTATCAAACAGTTTTCCCTTCCTCTCGACGCATTCTCAACCAAGAAATAATAATGAATCGTCGAGTTTTGTCGCTGCGGCTGAGCACGTTGGTAGTGTCGGCGACCAGCGCAAAAGGCATGCGTTGAAACTTGCGATTTCCTCGTAATCCCCGATCCCTACGCGGAAAAAAAATTCGTAAAAATTCGCCATGGCCAAGTCGGATCATGTTTTTATGGGGAATTAGGTTTGTATTTTTGGATGTAGAGGCCAAATTATGTAAAATCGGCATTCTGTAAATCGGGATTCTGTAAATCGGCATTCTGTAAATCGGCATTTTGTAAATCGGCATTCTGTAAATCGGCATTTTGTAAAATCGGCATTCTGTAAATCGGCATTTTGTAAAATCGGTATTCTGTAAATCGGTATTCTGTAAATCGGCATTCTGTGAATCGGCATTATGTAGGTAAATCGGTTGCGGCGTATGATGCTCCTAGCTGAGACTCAAGTTAACCTTCCCGACCTCATCTCACTGGGCTTCAGTGGCTTGAACACCGAATCGGGCAGCTTAAGTGCAGCCGCAGGCCCCGGTGGCTTCTCGGGCTGCTGCTGCTGCTGCTCCTCGATTTTTCGTGCTCCGATCGGTGGGAAATTGTGACGATGGTGAAAGTCGCGGTGCAGCTTTCCGGATTTCAGGTCGTCCACAAACTGTAAAAACGTGTTCTTTCGCATTATCGGTGGGGGCAGCATTTCTTTCTATAAGTCCAGAACTTCCTAGTAACTCTAAGGAATTTAGTAATGTTTTTAGTAAAATTTAACTATGTGTTAAGTGGGCAAACAATCTTAAGTCCTTTTGGTCGGAAATCGGCCATTTTTGTTCAGAAATTCAATATCTTTTTATAACGTGTTAAATTATAAATTCCTCTACTTAGATTAAGAAAAAAATCGTATGGAAAAGTTTATTTCCCACCCCCCGATAATGCCAAAGTACGCCGTGGCCCACAGACCTGCTTGAGCCTGCCCGGCGTATCCCAGCTGGTGTTCGGGTCGTCGAAGAGGAACACGTGCTCCATCGAGTCGATCACCAACACCGGGAGATCCTAAAAATTAAGGGAGAAATATAATTCATTCATTTTCTCAGACCTTTTCATTTTTCCGAAGCATGTGGAGCGGATGCGAGAAAACCTTGGCGTCGGCCAGCAGCGGGTTTATCGTCCGGTCCTCACCGAGCTCGCGGGCTACCTTCAAATTTCACGGATGAATGAAAAATCCAACCAAAAAGTACTAACCACTGAAATAAACAGTTCCGTATTTTTCGTGTCAGCCCGATTGCGGAAAAGGACGATCAAAGGCAGCCTCTCCTCCGTCACCTCCTCCACGTTTTCGAAGGTCAGCTGAAAGGCAGTATAAAACGTTCAAAATTATCAACTAGAGCCACGAGGCATTTGAAAACAATTTATTGGGCCTTTATTAGCAGGGGCTCAACAGAAAAGCCCTGTGGCTCCGTGCTCGCTCTCTGCCCCCGAAACGCGCAGCACCTGGCCCACTCCCAAGAGGCGGGGTATAAAAAAGCCCGGCGACGGCCATTGGCCTTGAGCGACTGACGATTACAGATCCAACTCGGAGACAGATCCAAACCTCGTGTCGACTTCTGCTTTTTAACTCTGACGCTCATTCTTTTGTTTTTGCTTGTTTACACCGCAATTTCGTATTAGTTTGCAATTTACTTTTACTGCTTTTTTCGATTTTTTTGCTGAATTCACCTCTCGAACGGCCGGGATGCAGCGTTCTTTCAACCATTGCTTCGCATGGCCAAAATTGTCCAAGGTGCCGGGATACTAGAAAAAGATCAAGTTTTTGATGATTTGAAACCTCCTCGCGCTCCTGGTTCGCGCCCTGGAAGTAGACGAGGCTGCCCTCTCGGCCGGGCTTGGTCAGATACGGCAAATCGGGGGCCGACGCCCAAAAGCGGCAATCATAGCCTCCGAGCGTCATCGCCAGTTTCTGAACGTTATTTTCTTTCTTTTTGTCCGCCTTATATTTTTTTCAAACAAACTGTTTGTTTTGTTATTCTCAGGCTGAAATGAAGACCTGAAAAGTTTTACTTTTCTTACCACTGCATTCCCAAAGCTGTACGAATCGCGGTCGTGCGAGTAGACGATCACATTGCGCTTGTTTTGGGCGAGGCCGACGTCCAGGGTTTCCTAAAAAATCCCTATTTTATCAACTTCAACCCCGACCTGGCTGTCAAATGTCTCCATCGGCGGGTCGAACTTGGCGAGCACGTGCTCGACGAGGGCTTGGCTCGTGCGAGCGCCTCTGAAAGAATGAAGCATCAAAGTAATCTTGAAAACCCCCGCCTGTACTCCCTGTGCATGGCGCCGGCGATAAAGTAGCGCATCGTCGGGTACTTGTGCACCAGGTATTTGTTGATAATTTCCGGCTAAATCAGAATCTGAGCATGGATGTAGGCACACCTCCTTCATCCCGTCGACCGTCGCGAAGACGGCGCTCAACTCGGGGTGTTTGTGCTTGAATTCCCGGGCCGCCTCGTCCCAGACGGGCTTCAGACGACGCGAAAATGGGCACCAGTCAGCCCCAAATGCCACGAAAACGACCTGAAGAGGGCGATGAACGGTTTTTAGAAATACCCCAAGCTACCGTAGCCGAATTGAGGACCTGGTCGACGTTGTGGCGGGTGATGACCACGTTTTCGGGCTGTGAAAGGTCAGCTCTCATTAAACGCCAGAACTACCACGACGACGCCGATGATCAACCACAGCAGAGCCAAACCGCGGACAGCGCGCATTTTTCTGTAGAAAAAGTGGTACTGGATTGTTAGCGGGGGCGGCGGGGGGGCTAGCAGGTTGGCTGGGGGCAGGTTTTCATGGCTGATTGCTAAACAGCTGTAAAAACATTTAAAATGTTGACGTTTTTTGGTCATTTTTCATACATTTTTGACCGAAATCAAAAATTTGCAGACGTTTTTATAGGTTTTTTATAGCTAAACACTGTGTAAAATGTTATAAAAATGGTTTATATTTTGTACCGTACAGGATTGCTACGAAAAATTAGTTCCCCCTGCTAATAGTCCAGTACCGAAAAAGTGCAAAACTAGCATATAAAAACCCACCTTCAATGGCGTTGACGAAAAAAACAGTGCGTGTATCTCTGTTCTCTATCTTCCCTTTCTTACCATACTTCGCATTTTCATGCAAATAGCCTCGTAATTCACTCAAATCGAATCCACTTTATTCTCACAGCAGCGTCACTAATATCACAGCGAAGGGGGGAAGGGGAAATATTACGGGGGTGGTTGTAGAAACTCTAAAAATCTGGACCGTACCAAAATACTCAAGAGTAGCAGCAGCATAAACAAAACGCCAAAAAAAACCCGAACAGAACACGGCCGCCCATTCCTGAGAATGGGGAGGGCACATCGCAAGGTACAGAGAAAAGGAGCAAAAAGTCTTTTAGAAGATTCTTGGCCATCTTTTTGGAGGAAGTTGAGGGTTGTTATTACAGCTCCTGCTTCATCAGCAGTGAGTATCTGGAAAGGGGAGGTTTGATACCTGCAAAATTACTATAATTTTCTTTTACCAAAATTCGGTTCTTATGCACTATCGGGGGGGGGGGGGGCAATCTTGTCTATCAGTCTAGAAAGCCTAGGAACTTAAGAACTATTTTTCAACGAGAAAACCTATCTAAAAATAGTAATATTTTTTTGAAAAGGTCGAAATTTTGGTCGAAAAGGCTATATTTTTGCGATATTTTTAATAAAATTTGGTAATAAATAAAACTAATGAAGATTTTCACGTTTAGAAATCGTAAAATCAGTTTAGAAGCACTTCCGCTATTCATATTTTGAAAATCGGATCCTACGAAAAACATGTCGTCCTCCCTCCCCCGGATAATGCGAAAGAACCGGAAAATGCGTTTCGGAAAATTCTTTAGCCAACATGAATTCATCAAAGCCAAACCCACCGTTTTCCGCTCGGCTTCAGCTCCTTGAACACTGACGGCGGCGGGTCGGTCTTTGGCCGGTGGCCTGGGGGCCCTTGGCCGCCCGGTCGCGCATCTCCGTCCTGAAAAACCACCAAGATAGCTTGTTCAATTGAGAAGACACTACCTGCTCGTGCTCCTCCTCGATCCCGTTCTCCGACTTGAACTTGGCCAAGTCCATCATCTTCTGGTCGAGGCTCTCGTGGAACTCCTTGTGCAGCTTGCCAGAGTTCAAATCTTCGACGAACTAAAGGGATTCATTAGAAAGCCAGGGCTCCAATTACCTGTCGTAATTTGCCCGGGGTGGACACTTGCGACATGTCGGGGAAGAGGAACATGTGCTGGAAGGAGTCGATCGCCAGTACAGGTAGATCCTGAAAATCGGAGTTTCCCAAAGGTTCTTTGCTAGGCTGCCCAAAGCGCAAGACACGAACCTTCTGCGTCTTTCCAAGATGTCGCAATGGGTGGGCGAACTTCTTGCCGTCGGCGAACAGAGGGTTCACGGCCCCCTTGATATCGTAGAGCTCACGTACCACCTGAATTTTCAGTTCAAAATTTCTATGTAAAATTTACCGCATCCGTGAACATTTTGTCGTGCTCCTTGTTGTTGACGTCGCGGAAGAAGATAAGGAAGGGCAGTCCTTCTTCGGTCAATTCTTCCACATTTTCAAAGGTGACCTTAAAAATTCTTGTAAGAAAATTTTTTAGACAATACCTCTCGAACCAACGGGATGCACTTATCCGTCAGCCACTGCTTCATCAGGTCATAGTTCTCCATGCTCATCGTATACTACAAAATATAAATTCCCGATAATGCCAAAGAACCATAAAATAAATATTATTAGGGTGCCCAAAATTCAGAATATTACTTGCTGATGGTCTCCCGTATCTGGGTCGACGAACGAGATCATGTTTCCCTGAATATCCGCACCGGATGGGGCAGCAAGCGCCGGATCGGACACCCAGAAGGAGCAGTCCTCGCGCAGGATCATGGCCGCTTTCTAAACAAAAGTTTTTCATAAAAAATGGCAAATACCTTCAAATTCGAGAAGGCCGCCGAATTGCGGTCCTTGGTGTAGACGAGCACGTTTCTCTTGCTGCGATCCAGATGCGTGTCAATGTATTCCTAAAAAACACTCATCCCGTTGTCAATTTGAGAAACCTGTGACGGGAACTCGTTCATGGCCGTGGATAGCTGCTCCAGCACATGCGTTGTTAGAGCATCCACCGAGCGGGTGCCTCTAAAAAATTTAGTAAAATGAACGGTCTGAAAAAATTTGAAAGCTGATTTACCTGTACTCCTTCGTGACGAGCTCGCCGTTGACCCAGTACTTCATCGTTGGGTACTTGTTGACAAAGTATCGATCCGCGACGTCAGCCTGAAATCAAATAGATAGATTGTAATAAGAAAAAATCGAAAAAATTAAGAAAAACTAAGAAACTACAAAGCCACAAGGTTTTGGGGCTGGGTAAACTTTTAATAATTAACGTTGTAACTTTTAATTTTGAAAACTTGGTTGAAACTCGGCCATTTTTATCCACAAAAACATTTTTACGTTTATCAGAGAAAAAACCGTTTCGAAACACGTCCGGCATTATATTAGAAAGTTGGTTTTAAGTACGTTCCTTCAAAAAGTAAGTTTTGCCGTGAAAAGACTACGACGCCAACTAAAACCCCTTCAAAATTTTTCTAAACCTGGTGCCTTTCTCAATCCCTTTTCTGTATACAAACCCACATGAGCCACCGAGTCGACGATCGCAAAAACGGCGCTTTTGTCGGGGTGCTCGCGCTTGAAGACCTGAACAAATAGTGCGAAATAATAAGAGACGGAAGCGGATAATTACCCTGGCCGTTTCCTCCCAAACCGGCCGCAACCTTCTCGAAAAAGGGCACCACTCTGCGCAAAATGCCACGAAGACCACCTGAAATTCGGGTTGGAACGAGTGTAGGAATTCTGCTTTTTGAGCCAAAACCTTTAAAAATGGCTTACCGTCGCCGAGTTCAGCACCTGATCGTGATTTTCATTTGTGAGCAGCACGTGTTGGTCCTAAACATTCTTTTCAAAAAAAGCTAGGAATTAAAACCAAAATTATAGGATTAGAGTTAGAATTGAAAACGACAAACCTGTGCGACTGGTTGGGCGAGGATGGATGAGATCGAGAGAAGCGCAACGCACGCCCCCAGGACCCGCATTGCCTAAAAAACGAAATATAACAAAAACAACAACGAAGAAAAAGGAAAATCTAAAACGTAATAAAACAACAAAAAGCCTTACCGATGAGTTCCGGTCCTAGCCACCAGAAACTTTGTTGCGTTGTGATTGTCCGTATCTGAGGTATTTCTCGTTTATCTTGTTGCTCGGAGAGGGCGATAGCTGAAAAAAATCCAGATTAGACGTTCTAATCCCTTTAAAAGGCTCGAACACGCAGAAAAAGAAGTGCAGAAGTGTTCCGAATCTTTTTAGACCAATGTGCGAGCGGATTAAGAGGATTGAAGGATTGAAGATTCCACAGATTCTAACATTTGGTGGTATTTTAAAGAGGATTTAGAGTATCCCGTAATATAGACTGTAATAGAGGCTTTGCTCAATATCGGTTCATCAAACCCCAAAAAAAATCGAGCCTTCAAGGGGTGGATCGATGGGTTTCACGGGAAGAGGAGGAAGAGGTGGAGGAGTGGATTGGAAGGGGCGGACTGTCTGACTGGTCAGTCACTTGCTGTCTCTCTCTCTCGCTCTCTCTCTCTCTCTCTCTCTCTCGCTCTCTCTCCCGCACACAGTTCTCGGGAAGGCCTGCGGGGCAAATACTGGCTCTCCACAGCTCACCACCACAACCCGATCCCTAACCCCCCCCCCCCGCACTACCCACTTTACCAATACCCCCCAAAAACAGCAAATAACTCGTCAGAGGTCAAGCCGGCTGATGCGGGGTATAATTTATGCCGGAAACTGCAAAAAAAAATAGCGGCGCAAAAGCGATCGATTCTCGGCCGACCCGCCTCCGAGATCTGGGGTTGATTATTGGGGTGGGGATTTTGTCAAGGTCATCCAGGCTCGCAGGGGTATCCATAAAAAACGCGCGGCAGCTTGCTTTTGTCTAGCTTTATTCTAGAAAAGAAAGTGTAAAGATAAACTAAATTTAAACCTCTCATAGTTAATGCCATTTTTTAAATGGGGTAATACAAGTTTAAATAGGTAATAAAGACGTAACCCGAGAGTAAGGTAATCCCGAGAAAGGTATAATAGTTTGTAAACAGATCGACGATCAGGCATGAACTAAAACGTCAAATACCTGGCGTAGATCGAAACTTCAAGCGTAAATAAGTAAATAACTTTATAGTTTGTTCAAAAATAGAATAGAAAAAACTACAACCAAATTCACTACCAAAACCGGTGGACAAGAGCTGGTGCTCTGACAAGAGCTGGTGCTCTTGGCGAGGAGCAGCACCTATATAGTCAACGGGTTTGGCGTAGAGATGCGCGAAGGGGCGGCTAGGTGAGACGTTCGAGAAGCTTCCACCGCGCGCGGGGAGCAGCAGCAGGAGAAATAGAAAAAAAAGAAATAGCCATGGCGAGAATGGAGGAGGAAACGATCTACCCGATTTAGCACAAAACAGTAGAAAAAAAGATAGTAACTATTGGAGAATTGCCTAAAAATTAAGGTTAGTACTTGAAAAACTTCTAAAAATAACGTTTTCAAGGTCAGGCTCAATAAAGAATCAGGTCCTAAAATGAGCTCGAGCTCGCCGCTTTTTAGGATATACATTGAAAATTATCGTTGCAGAAATTGATTGTGAGCCAGGGGAAAGGTTGACCCCATTCGGATTGTCCTTATAAGGGATCGGAGGAGGGACAACCACCACAAAAGCCGGTCTTCGGCTTTTCGGGTCAACTTTTTTCGTAAACAGGCCGGGTTCTACGCGCTGCTCGGCTTCAGCTCACTTTTAGTAAAAGGACCTGCTGATAGGTCTCAAAAAAATTAGATAAAAATAGGCTCGGGCATATGGTACTGGACCGTTAGCAGGGGAGGAAAGTTTGGGCAGGGGGAGCCAATTTTTTTTTGATCGTTACCTACCTGTTAATAATAAAAAGCGTATTTTTAGCCATTTTTCCGTATTTTTTGATTGCTAGAAAGTTACAAAAAACATTTCAAATTTTTTCAAAAATTCGAAAATTATGAGCTTTTTAGTCGTTTTTCATACACGTTTCACCAAAACGTCAAAAATTTTGATTGTTTTTATGAGCTTTTCATAACCTAAAACTATGTAAAATGCCAAGAAATCTTTATATTTTCTTATAGGACCATACAGGATTACGGGGAAAAATTAGTTCCCCCTGATAACAGTCTAGTACCGGGTGTATTTTTGGCGGAGAAACGGTATATGTGCATCTCTGGAATACTGGAATTTTCTGTGTGAATGCGTGACGCTGAATTTAAATGCAGCAAGCCTTCGATTTTTGCAACCGGAATTTATTATTCGACAGTTGGGGGGAGCCGTTCAGGCGACGCGACGGCGGTGGCTGACGAACACCATCGATCGTGGCGGGCACGGGCAATATTCGGCATCTCGGCCGGGGATTCCCAAACCGCCATCCACGCCGGGGACGCCTAAAAAATTGGGTTAGCGAGGGAACAATATTATGAAGATGCTGTAATTTCAGTATTCAGCAATTTTTCGAAGCAACGCACCGTCGCTGCCAGGGTTTCCAGGCTGTCCTGCCGGTCCTGGTGGCCCGGAGGCACCATCTTGTCCAGGAAGACCTGGAGCACCATCCAGACCGGGGTTTCCGGCAGCACCCGGCGCACCGGGGACTCCCTTCGGTCCGGGACGACCCTTGCGGCTGATGCCGGCAGTGCCAGGGTGACCAGGTTCGCCGGGGATTCCGGGGGCTCCTAAAGACGATGTATCTATCGGTCATCCCCAACTGCCATACCTGGCAGACCGGCGTCTCCAGCCGGGCCGGGCGGGCCAACGGGACCCTCTCCACCAGGGGATGCAGGCGCTCCGGGAATTCCTTGGGGCCCAGCGGGTCCCGCTGGCCCATCGACTCCCGGCGGGCCGGGGGGTCCAATCGGGCACTGAACACATTCGGCCTGTTGTAGGCATGATCGAGATGGGCCGATGACGCCGTCGACACCGGGAGGTCCGGGCACGCCAGGGCCTAGAAAATGATTGGTATAAAGATCTTAAGTCTCTACGCTCCACCTCCAGGCTCTCCGGGAGCACCAGGCGGCCCTGGTGGGCCGGGCGGGCACTGCGGCATGGCATTGCACTGGCACCAGTCGGGAAGCTCGGCAAAGCGCTTCTCGCGTCTGATGAGTGGGTTCTCCTTTGGCCTTGATGGAGGGGTCACTCCCAACTGGATGTCCATCAGGTCCACCCACGAACTATCGGTCGAATCCTATAAGAAAAACGGTAGCTCTCGAGCTTTATAAAAAAGAGTTGATGCGTTTCCACATCGTTTTTAAATATACCTACCGGCATAAATACCTGCAAAATTTAATTAAAAATTTTATGTCGAAAAAATTTGTTTTTTCGACCAAAAATTACCTAGTTTTCGACTTTCTCAAACACTTTTTCTAACTTTGCTGAAAAGTTTTTGTACTTTAAAAATAGATAAAACTTACTAAAGCCAATGTAAAAACACCTTATATTTGAAAATGGAAAGCTCTAAAGGTACAAACCTGCAAATTTTAATTGAGAAACAATAACAAAATTACGGTGTTGCGCCAAAAGTTTTTGAGTTTCGACAAAAGTTAAATATTTTTGATATGTTGTATAAGTTTTCTAGATAGGTAACTTTGCAGATATAGACGAAAACGAAAAATCCGTTCTCCCTACCCGGAAATAACAAAGAGCGAAAAAATGATACCTTAAAACTATGAACAGCGTCGAAGACCTCGTCGCGCAACATCGAGATCTCAGAATACAGCGACGGCATCACGGCCAATGCCATCAGCAACGCGATGACGGACATCGCCGTCGACGCTCCCACGACAAAACGAACACTTCCCGTGCCCATCCTAGAACTTTCTCGAGGTATCGCGAGGTAACAAGGTATGTGCTGTATGACTAGACGTGTTGCTGGGGATCAGTGCGAAACTGGTGAAGGGCTCTTCCAGATTCGGGCTCTTTATAGCCGGGCAGAAGGGAGCAGCAGCTCCGCCCCGCGCGCGCCATCCGAGTGTGACCCATCAACGAATGTGCCCTTGCCAATATGCAAATCCGGGGGCAAGCCGTCTTGCCGAAAAAACGCTGCCGGACAAAGAGTGAGGCAGGCAACGACGACGATGGCGCTCGCGAGATGGGAATCCCCAGGTTTGTCCCCTCTGACCAAATAGTCTCTGAAAAAGGGCGAACGGTGGGAAAGTTGTGTGAGTTTTCATCGGTTGAAAGTTCCTTGGGTCTAGCCAAAGCATCCGGTGTTCTTCCGGCGCTTTATCGTCGGCACGGCTAGGCTGGACTTTGTGAGTTATTGTTAGCCTTGACTTTCAATGAAGCAATGCGCAAACGCCTACACTGGGAGTGGGCTTATCCTACACTTCAAAATTTAAAAATCTAATGTTTAAGGTTTTACAAAGCCTGCTTTAGCACTCTAATTAGAGGTCTCAGAGGCGGCCGTCTTTTTGTCGAAAAGGTCCTCCTTTTTATGGTTCGTCATCGGCGATTCATAACCAAAACTTCAAAATTGGCATTTCTCATTGCCCTTCATTCCGATTTGTGACTTTCTTTCCAGGAATCCCTTCTTGGAAACTTTCGTTCGTCCTCTAAATACCATTTTTGCTAGCTTTTTCATCAAGTCAAGTTTTGGATCGGATCCATTTTCCCAAACCCACCGGGAAAAGCCAACCATCACCTGCAAAAGCCCCCTTCGCCCTTCAAGCAACCCGTCATTCGCTGGCTGCGGAGGACAATCTGTTCCTAGAGAGGACGTATGCAAATCGAATCCACGAATCGGCAGGCAATCGCTCCCCCCCTCCCCCAGGGCAACCACCAACAGGAACCGGACGCTAATCGACATGGTTCGGGCTAGCTGCCGTACCCGGATGGAACAGCGGTTCTGCCACAAAGGGCCGAGCAGAGATTTCAGGAGGAAAACAAAAACAATACGCATTTAATTAAATTCGTACTAGTAATCCCGAAACAAAATTCCAATGGCATTCGTAGCTTACGAAGTACGTACGACTTAAGAAGAAGTACGAAACACTTTGGTTCTTTTAAACCATTACCTGGAATCGAACGGAAAAACTAAAAATTTTTCTTATTTTTAAATTCATGACTGTAATGCTGAAAAAATTGCCATGGAATTCGTAACTTACGAAGCATTTCACCTTTTCGAATCATTGCCTCTGAGGGCTGTGCATTTTACGTGTTCTACTATCCATAACTTATCGCGGCCCATTACCGCCGCCGGCTGGCTTCCCGGTTTCCCCAATTTTTTTCCGCGGTTTACGCTTTCTGGCGGCCTAAACGACACCTCGTATTTTGGCGCTGCACGTAGGCTGCGGCTACGATATGATGCCGGCGCCCTCTCCGATTTTTCAATTTTTTTCATTTTCGCTTGGTTCTCTTTCCCTTTCCGACTTTCTAAATAATCTTATTTCTACCTCATTCTTTGCAGATCACTACAATGGCGGACAAGCTGGCTGGCAAGTGGAACTTCGTCTCGGGCGAGAACTTCGACGAGTACATGAAGGAGTGCGGCGTTTCTTTCCTCACCCGCAAGGTTGCCGTCAATCTCAAGCCCGTGCTCGACATCGTTATTGAAGGTACCGCTTGAATTTTTGGCTTTAGAAAGTTTATTGTTTTAGGTAACAACTGGACGATCACCTCCACATCCACCTTCAAGACGCACGTTGCGAAATTCGTCATCGGGGAAGAGTTTGCCGATAAGACTGCTGACGGCCGTGATGTACGTTTTCTTTGTTCTTTCTTATGATTTTGCGTTTCAGGTGAAATCCAAGTATACGATCGAGGGCGACAAGCTCATCCAACAAGAGACTGGCCTCAACGGTGGCAAGGACTCGCGCTTCGAGCGCTTCGTCGAGGACGGGAAGCTGAAGGTTGTCTGCGAGTGCAACAACGTGAAGTGCGTGCGCACCTACGCCCGCGCATAAGCCAAATAAGCCTTGGAAATTCTTTCATTTTGCTGTGATTTGTGTAGATTTTATCAGTGCCATAGCTTTCATCGAATAAACCTTTGTACTTAGCTGTAACTTTTAGTTGAGCACATGCAGGTGAAATTAGCTCGGTGTTAGTTTGTTAGATGAAATTTATGGCAAAGCAATTTATTCGCTTTTGCGCGCAGGGGCTGTCGTTTGGCTTTTTTCTTATTCTTATAGTTAGTTATACCTTGACCGGGTGCAGTTGCTGGGACAGTATAATATTATTTATTCAGTTAGCATAAGGGCATCGTTGCGAGGAGGATGGGCAATGTCAGGTGATGCTGACACAATAGGGAAGAACCGGGCCGATAAGCCGGCTTGCGAGTTGATGGCCTAATCTTCGTCGGCCGGCCTGGCAAAATCGACGTATTCGCCCACGTACGTCTGCGACTCGGCGCCAGTTTGCTTGGCGTTCTGAAATGCAGGCTTGTAAAAAAGGTCGCTTGCTGGTCGCCAGTGCGCTTCCAACTTGCCTGCGATTGCTGGACCGCCGACTCGGAAATCATCTTACGGCGTTCCTTCAGCAACTTTTTCTGAAATTCGGCGAATTTGAACATTGAGCCGACTGACCAGGGTATCATTTTCCTCCGTCTCGTCGGGGACGACATTTTCGACCGGGGCTTGAAGACGGGGCTGGGCTGTCTGAGAAAGGTTATTCAACTTAAGTTCCGGGACAGTATGGCAGCGGCTTGTCATTTCTTGCTGAAGATTGGCACCTGCATGTTCGAAGGCTGGGCTGGCGGCGCAGAAGTGTGGTGCTAAAGTGGGAATAGGCGCCTGAATATCTCCGCTTACGAATCTGTCGAAGAAGCGCCCGATCGGCCCCTTCTTGCTCTGGAAAGTTAGACGTTTTACAACTGCATAACGCAAACCCTACCACTTGCGGATTCTCTTGCGGAACAGAGGGCAGGATTTGTTCGGTTGGTTTGGCCTGAATGAAATAGCAAGCGAAACATGCAGCCCACCACAGAAATCGCTGGCGGATCCATGGGCATCGGCCGCCGTGACGCCTCATCACTGCCATTCATCACCATTGGCGGCCCCTGCTGCACCACAGCTGGCCGCTCTTTGCCCGACGAGCGCAACTCGTCTACCAACTCGCGGCGCTTCTTCCTACCATGTCAAAAGGCGCTTTACCATGTCAAAACAACTTACACAGCTCGATACCAGTGGTAGTAGATGCACCGGCGCATGGACATGCTCAGGATAAACAAAACGAAGCCCCTGAATTCATCGTCGGGCTTCACCGCTGCAGGAATTACGAACCCGGATCCAAAACCGATCAAGAAGCCGAAGAAGGAGTACACGATCAGCACGCCATTATCACGCGCCAGTTTCTCGAGCTGGAAAGAGGCCTTAGGCTCCCAGAAATAAGCCACCTTCTCATCAACAAATTGCTGGTCCATCGTGTATTCGTTGCCGACCTTGTATATGACGCCGCTATAAATGATGGCTATAGAAAAGGAGAGAAATAGTACGCCGGTTCTGCAGCCATGGCATCGTCAAAGTAGGTTCCTAAATGGCTGGATCGCGTGAACTGACTGGCACGCACCATTCGACAAGTCGACGATCATCGTTGCATTCGACACCTCGGTGCTGTTCGCCGCATCGAGGACCTCGGTGGCGTTCTGGCCTAGTGCTTGGCACGAGAGCGATAAGAACAAGACGGCCAGTTGGAGCATGATCGATATGGCGGACTGGCTTTCCATAGTGTTGGTGCTAAGCAGAGGCCTGCGCCGGAAGTGTATTCCAAGCACAGATGCAAAGCCTTTCCGTGCATTTCGCGCAAAACTGTTATTTCGCCTTCGGTTTGTAAGTGAAAACCCTTTATTACAAAATCATGCACAAATTGCGAAAGTACAAAGCAAAAGCACGTTAGAGTGCGAATTCACAGTAAATTCCTCCTCTCATGATGGGCATCCGTGCTCGTCGTAGCCCTCGCCGCAGTCGGCCGTCCCATCGCAAAGCTTATCCATCGTGATGCAAGTGCCGTCGTTGCAGAGGTTCTTGCCGGTGCCGGAGCATTTGTAACAGGTGCAATTCTAGAAAGAAGAATAAGGCTTTTTCAAAGTGGAAATACCTGCTCGTCAGAACCATCGGTGCAATCATTGACGCCATCGCAGATCTTGCGGGCGGGGAGGCACTTTCCCTCCGCTTTGCACATCTGAAAAAAGCCGGTGAAATTCAAGGATAAGAAGTCTACCATGGCAGAACCGCGGCATTCATCGAGATCCTTGCAGCCTTGTTCGTCTTCGCCGTCGGGGCAGTCCCGTACACCATCGCACACAGCATCTTGAGGGAGGCACATGCTCAGGGTTGAGTTCTTCAACGCACACGGGAATTCCTTCTCTTTGCATGCGTCACCTAGGCAAAAAAAATAAAACAAAAGCAAAACGTTCTTACGACAAAATTCCTCTTCATCCCACCGATCCGGGCAATGTGCAATTCCGTCACAGATTTGTTCCGGAGTCAGGCAGATCATTCCTCGGATGTTGCGGAGCATGGCGTTGGGGCAGCCATAACGAGTATTGCACTCTGAGCCAAAGTAAAGATAAAAAGAAAGAGCACACTTTTGCAGGCGACCTCATCGGAACTGTCCCCGCAGTCCGGAACACCGTCACAGCGCCGGACGGATGCGATTACTTCGGTGGGATTGGTCGTGCAGCTGAACCCGTAGCCAAGGCAAGAGGAGACGTTCGGGTTCTTGACGATGCTGAATTCGAGTTGTTGATCCCCATCGTCATCCATCTTTGGCCAGACGATAGCGCCAGCTCTTGCATCCAAAGACGCCTAAAAATCCATATAGCAGCCAAAAACCACTCTCACCAGAACCGCTGGCCCGCGCATCGTCAAGGGTTGCTGCTCCCCGGGTGCGACGAGAACGAACAACAACACCGCGACGACTAGGAGGGCGCCGATGAGTGCAAGGAAGAATAGGACGACGAGGAAAGTTGGTAGGCGGCCACAGGACTTGTCGTAACAGCTTTGGAGCCCTTCCATCGCATCTTCGTAGCGTTCAGCAAGCGACCTAAAGAAAATAATTCAAAACAATAAACAAAAATCACTTGGGCGGGGGTGCGCTCAGCCCGTAAATCGGAGCGACGTCGCCATCGTGTAGGGTCTTCGAGCCGCGGAGTGATTCGAGGGGATGGGAGAGTGGCGAGCCCCGGGCATCGTTGCGCGTAATTTCCATCGAGATGGGATCGTAGCGCCCTTTTGTTCCACTGTCTTCCATGTCCAAGGGGAGCGCCATCCCGACCCTAAAGCACAAAATTGGAGGCGAACAAAAAGCGGAAAAGAAGAAATAAGAAAAGTTAAATCGTAATCTCTCTAATACTTGTGCAATGATCTAAAGTCGAGTAGAAACGAATTCTGAGAAAAGGAAAGAAAAGTTAAAGGAAATTTTCCGCATACATTTCGGAAGTTATACGTTTTTAGGGCAGAAAAACAAAAAATACATATGAAATATCTGCGAACCGGTAGTGGAAGCGTTTGAAAAATCGGGCTGTGGAAGAAAAGCCGCGGCTTGGGTGCGTTACGGTAGCGCGCGGTATAAAAAACACCAGTTGTCGCGGAAAGTGGAGTGCATCGTAGCTCTCCCTCTCTCTCTCCTCTGCTGGCAAACCACGGCTGAGCCATGAGCCAAAAACGGGCGTGGCACAAGTAGGATTCTACCGCGAGGGCTCAGCCGTGGCACGGCCGTGCCTGGGGTTCGGCTGTGGCTCGGCGTTTTTCGAGATATTCGGGTGTGGCTCGGGGTTCCTCGTGGCTCAGCCGTGGTTTGCCAGCAGTGTCCTTGCTGTTATGACCTGCCTTTTTCTTGAATACACTATCTTATTTATTGAGCAAACAGGAGAGGTATAATAAATATTGAGCAAAAGTTATTGCAACAGCTTCCCACATCTCGCTCCGCCGTGTTTAGCAGCGCCCCAGAAGCCGGCGTATCGACCTGAACTGACGTATTTTTGCCAGAGACTAAAAACCGTTTTCTCCTGCCGAGACATGAACTTATACATGGGCAGCAGCACGGCATGGCCGGCGGAGATGGGGTGCAGCACTGAAAATGGCTCGAATTATGGTGCCGATGTACAAACCGTAGTTTGGCAGCAAGTTGGTTGGCAGCAAGCCGGCGGACAGGCTGGCTGGCAGCTCGCCGGGGTGCAACACGAAGACAAGCCGAGCGCTTGGCTGAAGCTGCCACCACCGCTGCATCCACCCCCACAACCGCCTGTAATATGGGCTATACAGGGTGTCACAAAACCCCACAAGCGGTGCCTCGGATCGGGATGGTTTCGACACGATTCGAACGCTTTTGAAAAGGCCAAAAAAATAGCGGAATTCGTTTTCTTCAATTATTTAGCATTTTCTAGAAATCCGCGTTTTTCAGAATTTCTGCCAAATGAGCAGGATTCTTCTAGAAAACTTCTTGTCTTAGAGACGTTTTTAGGGTTCTTTTCGCTTTCTAGATTACGTCTCTAGAAACCTTTCGTTTTCTACACACTTAATTTAAAAAACGAAAACAGTTTTCTTGTCGCAGCTTAGACAACTTTCGCTTTCGGTTTTTGAGAAATAAATCTCAAAATCTAAGACTCCCGCGGATCGCAAGTGAGGCGCTTTTTTGGGATACCCAGTAAATATTCTCGGTTTTAGCTTACTGGAGCAGCCGGCGCTGCTTGTAGAAGAACATCCACCACACGGGCTACTGCAACTGCCACAAGGTTGGCCACAGCCTCGGCACGACCCTCCGCAGCCGCCACAGGACTGGCCGCAACCTCCACGGCACGAGGAACCGCATGAATTGCCGCCGCATCCGTTGTTGCGGCACCCATTATTGTTTGACGGGCAGCAGCAGTTGCATAAAAATTTTTGCCGAGTGATTAGATTTTGGAAATGCATGTGTTTTCTATGCAAAAAGGACAATGAAGAAAAACGCCATTAACACCTGAAATCAACGCTTCTAAGACGATAAACTGGCGTTTCGGGCGGAAAAGACTTACCACATTGCTGAGCAGCCTGCGGGCGACACGGATTGAAGTTGACTGGATGGCATATTTGGCCAGACGAGCCAAACCAGCGCCCGCCGCAGCATCCGCCGGGTGCCATCGGCATCGCTGGCTAATTGAATTTTACATTGTAAAGTTATTTGGGTTGTTGGGAAGGGGGATTTTTGTCAGGGGAAAAACTATTTTTAATCTCTTCGCCTACCTGCTGATAATATCTAACTTATTTTTGATGTGTTTTGGTGGTTTTTGTTTGCCAGAAGGTAAAAAATGTTTGAGAAAGCTGAGAATTTGAAAATGTGACTTTTTTTGGTCATTTTTCATACATTTCTGAACAAGAAGGCAAAGATTGTTGAAAAACTGTAAAATGCTATGAAAATCGTTTATGGTTCGCTGGGGCCTTACGGAATTAGTGGCAAAAATTAGTCCCCCCCCGGCTAATAGTCAAGTACCGTTATTAGGTGCTTTGATGATAATTTTCAAATCCATCTACCCTTACCTGAGAATAAGACTGGAAACCGGTTAGCGGGTTCGGGGCCTAAAAAGAAGTACATATTTCTGGTGATTGCCTACCAGCGGCGGGCGGTTGTAGGCAAACGGTGGTCCAGGGTTGAAGGGCTGGAAAGTAGTCGTAAATTTTTGGTGGATTACCTGGACTTGTGGCTGCGGGAACACCTGGGGTTGTTGCCTAAAACTCGTGTTTAAAACGCAGTTTTCTATCGATTACGGTCGGCTTTGATAGCTGCTCGGAGGGACGCGGATTGGCGGGCGTTTCGGTTGCAAGCGCGGTAATGGGACGAGGGGTCTTGTGGCGGGTTTTACTAAAAAAAGTTAGAAATGAGTAATAAGCCTAAAAAGATATAAAAAAGTATAATTGATTCTTTCGGTTCTTTTGCATTAGCGGGGGGGGAGGGCGCCTTCAGCACTGCCCAGGGATAGAATATTAAGTTTTTAATGGTGTTTGAGAAAGAAATCTAAAAATCTAGAAATTTTTTAAGGAACGTTTTGTCGAAAATCGTTCATTTTGCTCCACAAATCAATATTTTTGATATTTTTAACAAAATTTGTAAAGTTTTTACTTTTAGAAATAGTAAAAAATTTTACAAACGCTTGACCTAGTTTATTAGAGAAATTCGATCGAAGAAAAAAGCCCACCCCCCGTTATTGCGAAAGTACCTTTCTTCCTTACCAGGGGCATGGTCTTCTTCCAAAGTCTCATAGGAAGCGCCCTTTTCGCTTCCAAGGCTGTCAATCTCTTTGTAGCCGGGTTCTGGTATCTGGAAAGTTAAACCAGATTTAAAACGTTTAGATTTTGATACCTTTTCCGATTCGGGTGGCAAACTAACCGGCGAAACGGGTGGAGATACCACTGGGCCAGCATTTTCTTCCGAATTTTCTGTGTAGCCGTTTTCTACCTGAGATTTTCTGCTAATTGCTGGGACCGAAACGTTTAGCAATATCTAGTAACTTAATAGGAAATGTTTTAATAGTGTTTTTAGTAAAATAAAACTATATTTCAACGAGAAAAACTATCTAAAAAAATTTGTAAAATCTTTAAAAAATTCGTATCTTTTGTAAAAAAACGGCCGTTTGTGGTCGAAAAATCGATTTTTTTGGTATTTTGTAAAGAAATTTGATGATTTTACGTCTAGGAACAGTAAAAACCGGTTAGCAACACCTGCACTTATTATATTTGAAGAAAAAAAGCCCCCCCCCCGATAATGTAAAAGAGCCGTTTTCCTGACCTCGCTTCCGGATGGCACTTGCGGTTGCGCTTCCTCCGGTTCTTCATTTCCGCCATCAACCTAAGCAATTTCTGAACTATCCCGGGAACTCAGACCTGCGGCACGAGCACCGGGTAAGCGGTGGCTGTTTTTGTGGGCTGGACATCGGGTTTTAGGGGCGGATGGGGTCCCGGTTGGACTGGTTGAGGGCGTGGGATGGCGTACGGGATCGTCTTCGGCTTCTCGGGTTGTTGTGGGGGCTCGGGCTCGGTTAGGTCGACGTATTCTTCCGGTTCCGGTGCATCGGGGATGGGTTGTGGAGGGATACTGGCTGCTGGTGGTGGCTCTGAAATGATGTAGTAAGTGAAATCTACAGCAACGTAATGCATCAGCTGATACTTGAGCTAGGGAATGGGTTCTGATGCGTTAGCGGGGCGGGGGGGGGGGCGGATACCTAACGCCCGTTATTGAGTAGTAAGAAGAAAGAACTTGAGCACAAAAACACCAAAATTGAACTTGTAGCAGGTCGAAAACGCCCAAAATTGAAGTTTTTCGGATTTTTTTTGATAGAATTTTCACCAGATAAGTTAAATTTTTTCGGGAATCTGAATGATTTTACAAACTTTGGTCCTTTGGCATTATCGGGGGAGTGTCAGCTTTTTCTTAGGATCCAGTTTTTCAAATATAGCAAATGTTTTTTACTATCCTTAAAAGTAAAAACTTAATAAATTTTAATCAGAAATGATCATCGACCAAAAATAGCCGATTATTAAGAACCA